CAAAAAAAAAAAAAAAAAAAAAAAAAAAAAAAAAAAAAAAAAAATTCTGGGATACACATGGAAGCAGTTTAGTGGAATTATCAAGTGCTGGTAAAGTCTAATAATTCAGACTCAAGCATAGGTATAGCTTACTTTATGAACTCTATGCATTTCCTCTCAGTGCTCTATGGAAGGTATCTGATTTTTGCTTCAGTGTTCATTATCAGAAATCTCCTGTAACCCCTTCCCTCTTAATAGAGGTGATACAGAAAGGAGACCTAGATAGCAGTGCCTAACATGATACAGGGCTGTGTCTGCTGAGGAGCTGAATCTCCAATTAGTACATCCTTTTTTATTTCTTTGTAATACTTTATGACTCATAACTTTCACACATGCCCTAAATATTTTTCTTGTAGACAAAAATTTTCTAAGTTTATACCTTTATATTCCCTCCAGAATGTTCTTTCTTCTCTGCTAATATAGATGTATTCCAGCCACGAAATTCCTTACATGTACACTTTTATATGATGTCAAGTTGTCCCTTTGGCAGTATTACATAGTGGCTAAAAGCACAAATTCTGGAGTCAGGTTGACCAGGGGCAAATTACAGGTCTGTCATTTATTGGCTGGTGATGTGGGGAAAGTCACTTTACCTCTTGATGCCTTATGCTCCTTATCTATAAAATGGTTGTCATGAGCATTCAATTATATTCAATTAATTGAGTTTCCCTTATCCGAAATGCTTGGGATCAGAAATGTTTCAGATTTGGTTTTTTTTTTTTTTTTTTTTTTTTTTTGGAATATGGGCATTATACTTACCAGTTGAGCATCCTTAGCTTGAAATCTGAAATGTTCCAATAAGCATTTCCTTTGAGCATGACCTTTGAGTCATGTTGGTGCTCAAAAAGTTTTGGATTTTGGGGCATTTCAGATTTTGGATTTTCGGATTAGGAATGCTCAACCTATATGTGTGTGTTTGTGTGTGCATGTGTGTCTATCATAGGACAATTTCTGGGGCACGGTAAGCACTGTGGGGATGCTAGCTAGTACTGTTCCTTTTTCAGTGTTATAAGCTTGAAAACCTACATGTAAAATGAATTTCCCTAAAATGAGGAATACTGACACGGCCAAGTTTCTTTTGTGTGATGAATTAGGAGACAGCATAGCATGAATCAGTAAATAGCTGTGGAGCTTTTTAACCATTATTTTTGACCTTTATCTAAGAGCTGCAAATAGCTGCAAAAATGACTAATGAGTTTCTCCTATTTTCCCTTTCAAACAGCTAAGTTTAGTGAAAGGGCAGTGACACAGACAGGTAGAGGGTGGGGGTGGCTGGTAGGCAAGGACAATATAGTGGGGTGGGCCTCCTCCCTGCATAAACCACTGAAATCTCACATTGTAGCATTTCTCTTTACTTCCTTCCTCCCACTAGACCAGAAGCCTTCATGACAGAAGAGTCCAAACCCAAGCCAGCATGGAGCCAGAGCTATTTCTTTCCTGAGGAAAAGTTCTCTTTCATGGGCTGGGGCTCTGAGAAGCAACACTTCAGCTCCACAGGCTTCGGTGAAACAAAGACGACAGGGTCTGCTGCTACGCTTGTCAAGCCCCTGGGTGCCACTGGTTCCATTTTTCCCCCATTTCATTCTACAACCATGGAAGAGACTAGGGCCATTGAGGATATGCCAGAAGTGGAGAGATGCTATCCCTTCTCAGGCCGAAGTCCTGCCCTACAGCAGGCAGTCTCAGAAGAGCTCATGAGAGATGTGATGGGCCATGACAAGTCCCTGGCAGGGGTGCTAACCCCAGCCTCTAATATGGTGACCACGGCTGAGGTCATGGGTGACCTCTTTGCTGTGGGAGATCTGCAGTAGAGGGGCCATTTCAAGCAAAAGTGGCATCAGGAAAGAAGAAATGATGGGAGTGTCCAGGAAAGCCACAGGGTGCCTTTGTAAGCAAGCAGACTAGATAGAGCTGGAATGGGTGGGGTTCCAGGGATTGGTAGGAGGGAGGCCAGTATTTTTGGAGGATTAAGAGCTAAGGTCTTAGATACTTCCCTACTACCTACCCTTCTTTGGGATCCATATTCTGGGACTATGAACCAAAGGGAATCATTGATGATCATTAGCCTAGAACTTTTGGGTACTGCCAGTTTTTCTCTACTTTAATAGGGTATTAATGACCAAACAAAATTATCTGTAAAGAAGTCCTCCTAGCTGCTGAAGTCAAGGGCATGGAAATAGCCTTCTGAGATCTTAAAATTTGCCTTTGCTTGGCTTCTAGACAGTCTTCATGCAGCCTGTTTATGTTCAAACAGTAATTTCTGGTCCATTATTATTTTTTTACAAGTCCTTGGTGAAGCAGGGTCCTGTTTTTTTAAATGGGGAAATTAAGAAGCAGAAAGGTCAGCAGCCTCTTAGCAGAGCTGTTCAAATGGTCATTCTTTGTTTCCACAGACAAGAGTTTCAGCACTTCTCGCCTCTTCCAGGGGCCCCGGGAATCCCTAACTCTTACTCAGCTTATTACAGTATTTCTGTGGCCAAAGCAGAGCTGTTGAACAAATTGAAAGACCAACCTGAGATGGCAGAGATTGGCCTGGGAGAGGAGGAAGTTGACAACGAACTGGCTCAAAAAAAGGTGAAGTTTTTTGATATGCCCTAGATATTTTCAGCATTTAGCTTGAGTATGTCTGAAGGGTGACCAGCCCTCTACACTCTCTAGAAAGTTTTTCATTCCTTTCCTTTCAATATGGAAATTAAACAGCCTCTGTGGGTTTCTCACAGATCCAACTCCAGTCTTATTTTGATCTAGTCAATAATAGTAGTAGTAGTAATAGTAGCTGTCATCGTCGTTGTCATCACTGTCTCTCTAATCCTCAGAAAAACCCTATAGGGTAGCTCTTGCTATCCCTTTTTACCAGTTGAGGGGATTTATTTGTCCAGAGATTACAGACTAAATGGTAGATCCAGGACTTGAAGTCACGACCATCTGAAATTCGACTCTACCGTGCATGCTGTTTCTCTGAATTAAACCAGCCTTGTAAGTAACTCAACAGCCAGGGCACATCAGAGTTTCTGCCAGTGAGCTCTAACCAATGGCAGCCTCACTGATTTTTATTCTCTGTGTAACTGTCTGGGAGAGAGAACAGACTGACTAAGGAAAATAAGGAGAAATCATAGGCCAGCAAACTTTAGTATTTATTTTCAAGGGTAGTCAGTTATCTCTTAAAAATACAAAATAGATAAATGGAGATGATGATGTTGTGCCAAAGCAAGGCCTCCCTTTCTTCCTCTAAGTACCAGTAGCCTGGTTTTCTTATCAAATTCCTGGAATCACTTTGCCCTCCCTGCACTTATCCATTTTATTTCATAAGCAAATAGGGTTGCCATGGCAACATCAAAGGCTCAATTCACCACTTTGTGGACATCTGAACTCAATGTAAGTTGCTCTTCTGCCCCTATTTCTCTTTTGGGATATGACCTTTAAGAAAGCATAGGGCCATTTGCAAGAGCCCTCCCTCCAATTTCCCATCTGAAGTAACATGTCAGGGAAAGAATTGGAAACATGGTGGTGTCAAAGTTTTATTGATCCAGGCGCCTACTTCCTTGGATTCCATGTTCCCTGAGCATGGCAGGGCTACTCCTAGCTTACTTGAAGCTTGGCCTATGCAGGACCAAACCTAATAAAAATTTGACAAGGACAAGAGAGGGATGATCAGAAATGGCAATTCACAGAATAGCAGAGTGATTTGAAGTGGTTGTGGATGAGCTATGACCGGTTTTTGTCTCTGAAGAATAAAGGTGAAGAAGGTCACCAATTTGCAATATCCCAGAAAAAACAAGTCAACTCTGGCTGGGTCTGTGATGACTCCAAAGCTTATTCACTACATTTTCCCCAGGGTTGAGGTTTAGGTTGTAGAGCCCAGGTGCTGAGAAACAAAGAGCTCTCTCTACTTTTATACTTCCATCCATCCCCAGATCCTGGGAGCTGGGGTGGGTAGATGATATTCCAAGTGGGTCATTGGTCCCCAGCCATCCCTTGTCTCCAGCATCGATTTTGTTTGGGAGAGCAGAGGGTGGGAATATAATTGGGAGCCTCTTGGCATTTAATTGTGTTGTCTCATTCATATCACCAATCCTCAATTCCCAGTGGGTTCTGGAATTTTCCCCAAATGCAAACCTATTACACTTCAGACTAAGTCAAGATCTCCTGACTTTTGAACAGTTCTAAAATATGAAAACAGGCCCTGGAACCCAGGGAAGCTCTCTTAGTCTTGGTCACCTTGGACATCTCTAAATAAACTACCAGAGAGGAACACATTATAGAAAACTACAAGTCTATGGTCCCAGAGTACCTGGGCTGGAATTATAAAACAAACACTAAAGTATAATTCCTATGTATGGAATACTATTCTAAGCACGCAACATATGTTAACCCATTTAATTCTCATAACAACTCTACGAGGTAGCTTCTATTATTGCCTTATTTTTTAGATGTAGAAATTGAGGCACAGAGAGATTGAGCCACTTGCTCCAGGTCACACCACTACTTTGTGACAGAGCTGGGGTTCAAACTCAGGTAGTCTGGCAGTACAGTCCATGCCTTTAACCACAGTGCAATACTGGCTACAAAGGCTGTGGGCAACTTGGGACAGGTCCATTCTTGTTAGAATCTTACAGCTATACAAGTATCCATTAGTTTAGAGTGCCTAATAATAATGGCATCAGTAAACATACGTTGAACATTTAGTATGCCAGCCACAATACAGTCTTTCCTCAATATCTGTGGGGGATCATTTCCACGACCTCATGCAGATACCAAAATCCACGGATGCTCAAATTCCTAATAAGAAACAATGCAGTATTTGCATATAATCTACGCACATCCTCCCATTCACTTTATTTATTTCTTTCAATTTTACTTCTATTTACTTTTGTGGGGTATAATGTTTTGTTTCAATACATGCATATACTGTGCAATGATTCACTTAGATTAGATAGCATAGTTTTGTACCCGTCACTGCACCACTTCTCCTCCTCTCACCCCTTCCCCTCCCAGCAGTTAAATCATCTCTAGATTGCTTATAATACCTAATACAATGTAAATGCTATGTAAATAGTTATTATACTGTATTTTTTATCAGTATTACTTTTTTTTTTTTCCTTTTTTTTTTTGTCTTTTTTTTTTTTTTTTTTCGT